AAGAAAAAAAGAAAAAAAAAAAAAACTACACTCTTTCCTTTTCTTAACACGGCAGTGCAGCTTGCTGCTGCAGGTGATCTACAGGATCCCTATTACACACTTGTATCATTTCATAGCTTGTATCGTCTCATTTGCATGGCGGTGGTACGTCATCATCGACTAGAAGACAAAAATCACACCGTCGCACCAACTCTCCCCATCATCGGAAACCTCCACCAGCTAGGGCAACTGCCCCACCGTTCTCTCTGGAATGTATCGAAAAAATACGGGCCACTCATGCTCCTCCACTTGGGCTCGAAACCGACGCTCGTCGTTTCGTCCGCAGACGTAGCCAAACAAATCCTTAAAACCCACGACCTCGCATTCTCCGACAAGCCTGCCCTAACCTCCCTCAAGAAAATATTCTACGACTTAAACGACGTGCTTACGTTACCGTACGGGGATCAATGGAGGAAGCTGAGGAGTGTGTTCGTGCACGATTGTTGGGTGCTAAATACCAACACGCAAGTGTACGTATCGCAAACAAGTAGTAAAGTAGACTCGTGAGAGTCGGATGTCGATCCCACAGGGAATACGCAAATTACCTAATCCTAAGTACCAAATCCTAACAATTATGATTTTTATTCAGCCTACGCAGGGTTGTCAATTTAATTAACTAAATAAAATAAACTAATTAAGAAAGCAATTAAACACGAGAAAATATCAGTATAAAACGGATCTAGGATTTTATCTTCCCCCTATGCGATAATTCTTCACCCAATTAATATCCTATCATGCAAGTTACGATTCCCGATTATTAACCCAAGACACGAAATTACTCATAACCAGCTGTCGCTGCGTTATAAGCCTATTATTCATAAAAGATTCACTATATGTCTATGCAAACCTAGTACAAATAAAGCATTAAATAACAAGTCTCGTAAACGGCTACCTAAGGTATTATCTGTATGTCTACGATAATACATGCAATCAACACACGCATTCGGTGAAAAACTACTCGAAGGCTCTTCTATCCCTGTTCTAATTATTAAAACGATCTGTCAATCAATTCTAACAATAACACATAGCAACATAAATTAGCTACGTTCATGCGCTAAATAAGATCAAGATAGAAGAAATAATCGAAGAATTAAACTTGCATAAGAGTCGAAAAAGAGGTTCGAATTACCACATAGGGTTCCAATAAAATCCTAGAATAAAAACTTAGCTACTCATGTTCGTAACGAAAAGCATAATAAAAATATGAAAATTCATAAAAGCTATAAATAAAAATCAAAGAGGAGAACTAGGATGAAGATTCGTCAAGTCTTCGTCTTCGTTCTTGAGCTCCTTGATTGCGTGTAGAAAGATGAAAGATAAAAACTAAACATAAAGATGAAAGGTAAAAGATCAAAGATAATCCTAATTGTGTGCTTGTGGCCTTTAAATAGGGTGCAAAAATATAATAGGGCGGGTTTCCTTGTGTAATTAAACTTCCTTCACTGCGCCCCTACGTCCATCCGGACGGCCGTGTGAAATATAAGCATAAAACCCGCACGACCGCGCGGCCTTCTGTTCTTCAGAATTCTGATTATTTCACTTTTGATCCACTTTTTCTCCGAATTTGCAGTTTTCACCCCAAAAGTTGACAATTCTTCATTTTGCACCTAAAATACAAATAATAACCATTTTAAGCACCAATTATCATTAAAAACACATCAAAAGCTCCAATTAAAAGGTACAATTAAGTGTATAAATATACACTTAACAACGATCTTCTGAGCAACACACGCGTGAAGTCTTTTAGCCCCGTTAGAGATGAAGAGATACGATTCCTCGTCGATAAGATTCGTAGCCGGTGCGACTCGTCCGTGAACCTGACGGATACGTTCGTCTCGTTCACGAACGACTTAATTTGCCGCACGGCTTTCGGGACGAAGCGCATGAGCGAAACGGAGCACGGGAAGAAGTTCTTGGAGGCGATGGATGCAGCTGTGGGGTTGGTGTCGAAGATTACGGTGGGCGACTTTGTGCCGTGGCTTGGCTGGATTAATCGGCTTAACGGCTTCAACGCTGAGCTGGATAGGTGTGCTACTAGAAAGGATGACGTCATGGATGCTGTCATTGAAGAGCATTTGAAGGTGGGGCCCACCGGGAGTGGAGATAATTTTGTGGATATTTTGCTTGGAATATACAAGGGGAATACTCCGGGTGTATCCATTGACCTCATTTCTGTCAAAGCCCTAATTTTGGTAAGAGGGTTTATTGCTAAAATACTTGGGCAAATTACCAAAACCCCCTGAGGTAAGCCTAAATAACGAAAATCCCCCCACGTTCTCGTAATTACGAAAACCCCCCTTGACTAACCGTTGACCGAATTTTTTAACAGAAAATGTGAAATGTCTATTATATCCTTCTGTTAAATATGTGAAAATAAAAGAAAAAAGCTGAAAATGTGATTCTCTCCGGCTACGTCGTCTAGTGTAATATCCACCAGCACTGAAGAAGACGAGGACATGACCAACTGTCTGATACTCCTTGCTCAGGGCGGCGGCGGCGGCGGCACCGAGGGAAAGTTCAGCAGCCGGAGATTCCCGGAAATGGCGGCGGCGGCGGCGGAAGGGAAAGTTGGCATCTACGTCTACGAGTGCAAGACTTGCAGCAGAACATTCCCTTCGTTTCAAGCGTTGGGTGGCCACCGCGCAAGCCACAAGAAACCCAAACCCCCCGCCGCCGCCGCAGACGTTGATCGGAAAAAGCCACCACCGGCGGCGGCGCCGCCGATTGATCAAACAGCGGAATATACTCCGGCACCAACTTCAACGCAATTTCCGAAAACTCACGAGTGCTCGATATGCGGGTCGGAGTTTGCGTCGGGTCAAGCATTGGGCGGCCATATGAGAAGACACAGGTCTGCTGCAACTAACACCAATACGACGTCGTCGTCTGATATTATTGATGCCGGAGAAAAGACCAGAAACATGCTGGAGTTGGATCTCAACCTGCCGGCGCCGCCGGAAGATGATTACCGGGAAATGAAGTTCCACCGGTTCACACCCAACAAGCAGCCGCGTCTTGTTTTCTCCGCGGCGGCGCTGGTGTTGTTTCAAAAAAATTGTTCCCGGAAGTTTGAGGAATCGTGTAAATCGATCCACGTGGGATGTAACTATATGGTAATCGCAGATTTGGTCCTTTTGCGAATGATTCGATTTCTAAAATGCTTACAATTACCCCCTAAGGGTAATTTCGTGTACAAGGGCAAAATTGGTATTATCGGAGGAATATTCTTGAGAATCAAAAAGATTCTATCGAGTTTAACACCGTTAGAGCGATTTGTAAAATATCTGCATACCTCAGGGGGGTTTTTGTAATTACGAGAACGTGGGGGGGATTTTCGTTATTTAAGCTTACCTCAGGGGGGTTTTGGTAATTTGCCCAAAATACTTCTCATGTTATTGATATTTGCATAAAGGCCCCTTATAATGTGTTTTATTAATTTAGGGCTAAATGTCTTTTTATTTTTAGTTTTACACAAAACTCCATTGATAGATAATATAAACATTTATATGTATTTTGTTAATTAAATAAATTAAATTACCCCTAACCCTTTAAAGCACCCAATAAAGGGACGAAATTTGAGTAAAATTGGGGTTGGGGTATTAATTGTACTTCAGTTAAAGAAGGGACTGACAGGGTCAAAAATTAGAATAAAGGGTAAATTATACCCACACCCCTGAGGTATGCTTAAATAACTTTAAGGTCCTTATGGTATTGATAATTACACTCACCCCCGTGAAACGTAGTTAGAAACTCTAACAGGTTAATGCATTGGATACATTATTCCGATAGGGTTCTAATAGACTATTACTTTTAGCTAGTGGTGTAGATAACATAGAGTTATGGGGATTTATGGGGTGACATGGCTCCCCCAATATTTCTTAAATTACCCATAACTCTTTGTTGTCTCCACCACTTACTGAAACCAATAGTTCGTTAGAACTCTATCGTAATAACGTATCCAATGTATTATCCCATTAGAGTTTATAACTACGTTTCAAGGGGGTGAGTGTAATTATCGATACCACATGGATCTTAAAGTTATTTAAGCATACCTCAGAGTGGGTGTAATTTACCCTAGAATAAAACTAGGTTCTGAGGGTATTTTCGTCCTCATTGGCTTTAAGGTCAAAATGATTTTTATTTGGAAGTATTCGCAAGAAAGTCGGTTCTTATGGTTCTATAGACAATTGCCCCTTTTTTTACCACACAACCCACTAAATAGTGACTATCGAGTAGGCTAAGATTGCTAATAAAATATCATAGGGTATTTTTTAACAAGGGTAAATAGCACTTAACCTCCCTATGGTTATAAGTTTTTGCAAATGATCTTCATGTGCTCGTAATATCAGCACATAATCCCCTTATGGTTTATGGGATAGTTTTCGTTGATTTTTCCGTCAAACTTTACCGCGTGTGTCAAACTTCAAGGGGGTCATCTGCAAAAAAAATATACTTTGATGTTTGATACTCACGGTTAAGTTTAATTTGACGGGAAAACTAAGAGAAGCTACCTCATGAACCACGAGGGATTATGTGCTGATATTACAAGTATAAGGGGGTAATCTGCAAAAGTTTGTAACCACAGGGGGGTTAAGTGTTATTTACTTTTAAAAATTGTAACATAGGGGTCCCGGTTTTGCTAATAAAATAACCTGGGAATTTTTTAACAATTAGAGAAAACACAAGGTGTGGAATGCAATAAACCTTGTTTTGGTAAGTACTGAGCATAGTTTTCAATGGATACCATAAATCCATTCTGGTTTTTTTTTTTTTTTTTTTTTTGTTTTTTTTTTTTTGAACAAATAAAACAGGATGTTTTTGGGCCTGGTACCGAAACATCTGCAACTGACGCTTGTCTGGATAATGACCAATCTCATAAAGCACCCGACGGTGATGAAGAAACTGCAAGACGAAATAAGACACATCATGCAAGAAAAACAGCACATAACCGACGAAGACATACGAAAGATGCAATATCTCAAAGCCGTAATAAAGGAAACGTTCCGCTACCACCCTACGATTGCCACGTTCCTCCACAAATCAAGGGAATACGTAAACCTAATAGGGTGTTACGATATTCCACCAAAGACGATGGTCATGATCAACACGTGGGCCATCGGTCGGGACCCGTCTTATTGGGACGAGCCCGAGAGGTACATGCCCGAAAGATTCTTGAACTCTACTGTTGATATCAAGGGTTTTGATTTTCAGTTGCTCCCGTTTGGTGCCGGAAGTAGAATATGCCCTGGAATTGGATTTGCAGAAACTTCGATCGAGCACACCATTGCGAACCTCGTGCACAAGTTTGATTGGGCATTGCCGGATGGAATGAAAGGAGAAGACTTGGATGTGACCGAAAAACATGGACTTTCACTTAGAAAGAAACTTCCTCTTATCGTTGTTCCAACTTCCAAGTGTTAGTTTCAGTGCATGATCTATAAAGGGAGTTAGATGCTACACCTGATTTGAACCGTATGTTTAATTAAATAACTACTCATTAAACACACACGTACACATGGATGTGTGTGTGATTATATATGCGTAGATCTATGGTTCAAATCTATCTAGTGTAATAATCAGGTGCAACATCTACCCATGATCTAGTCAATATTGTAGAAATCAATAAAAGCATATTAAAGAGGATTTCCGCCAATTTTGGAATTTTAACTTTCAAAAAGTTGCAAAAATCAGTTGGTTATGTACTGCACCCGATGGATTTCACTAGGCTATACCCTACCATACACGTATATAAATTTCGGTACATATATATTTTACATGTACCCGCGTATATATACATGTTAGATGGCAAATTTTTCAAAAACTCGTTGAGAGAAACATTAAGAAAATTATCTCAAATAAAAATATAAATATATAGAGACTTTAATCACAATAAAAAGTAGGGTAAATAGCACTTAACCTCCTCTGGTTACAAACTTTTGCAAATGATCCTCTTGTCCTCGTAATATCAGCACATAGCACCCTTGTGGTTTGTGGGGTAGCTTTCGGTTAGTTTTTCCGTCAACTTTAACCGCGTGTGTCAAACTTCTAAGGGCTCATCTGCAAAAATGAAAGGGAAAATGAAAGCAAATGGGGTTATCTGCAAAAAAATTACTTTGACGTTTGACACTGGCGGTTAAATTTGATAGAAAAACTACCGGAAGCTACCCATCAACTACGAGGGGGTTATGTGATGATATTAAAAGCATAAGGGGGTCATCTGCAAAAGCTTGTAACCACAGGGGTTATGTGATATTTACCCTAAAAAGTAATGTATAATTCTTACTTCAAATTATGCCATCTACTAGAGTTCCATCTAATTTTCCCTGATAAGATTTAGATTAGGGCAAATTGCACATCACCACCTTGTAAAATTCTAATATTTGCAATATACCCCCTTAATTTTTTTAAAAGTGAATGTCTCCCTTCAAAATCTTATTCATGTTGCACATTGTCCCCATAGCAAAACTCTGATGGATTATTCATTGCAATTCAGTATTTTTGTTGTACATTGCCCTTTTAAATGTTGTTTTTGTTGCACGTTGCCCCTTAAAAACACTATTTGTTTGGCTATTGCCCCCTTTAAAATGTTAGTTTTGTTGCACAATGCCCTCAAAAAATTGGCTTATGGGGCAAAGTGCAACCAAGATAATATTCTGAAGAGGAAATATCTATTTTTTTGAATTTTTAGCGGGGAAAGTGCGAAATAAGAAACTTAGAGCTGGGGTGAAGTGCAATTCGTCCTTTAGATAAATGTTGTTTAAGGTATATATTTTTACGGGGCCTAGTTAACGCCTCTTAAGTCTTAACCTACGACAATTTGCGTCTGGTTATTTATATTGTGGCCAACTTGGATCTTAATCGACTTGGATAATTAGTTTTTATAAAAATGCATGGCTAATTTACGCTATCGTTCGTTTTGTACTTATACACAGGGGCGAGTCTAGCCCATAGACAGAGTGGGACTCAAGCCTCCCCACAATTAATACAAATTCTTAGCCCTAATTTCTTTCCATCCTAAAAAAGGTCTAAAAGCTTTTTTCGGGGAGCGCTACACCCGAAACCCCGAATATATATAACCATGTAGTAAATTCCTAGAGTAGCACGGCTTGTACATAATTAATCATAAGCCCATCCTATATATAGTCATCTCGTGTAGAACTAGGTGCAAGGACCATATTTACAAAAATAGGGAGTAAATGAAGCTGACGTGTCGAATTTTGATTCGTTCAAAAGTTCTAAATAAGGTATTAGTGATTTAGTCAACTCTTATACATTTCTTCAGATGTTACTATTTAAGCTGTCTAGTTATAACATGTAAAAATACAAGTTAAAAAAAAAATGGATGAGTTTCAATTGTTTACACTACTAATTGTACCAATTCTTACAATCTTATCATTTTGTGCATGGTGGTGGATTACGTCATCATCTATAAACAAGAACTCGCCACCATCGCCGCCGGCTCTCCCGATCATCGGAAACCTCCACCAGCTCGGTAAACTCCACCACCGCTCCCTCTACCGGCTATCCAAGAAACACGGCCCGCTCATGCTCCTCCACTTGGGCTCGAAGCCGACGATCGTAGTTTCGTCGGCAGATGTAGCCAAACAGATCCTTAAAACTCATGACCTTTCATTTTCAAACAAGCCTGCCCTAATCTCCACGAAGAAAATATTCTACGACTCGAAGGACCTGATAAACTTACCCTACGGTGACGAATGGAGGAAGCTGAGAAGCATCCTCCTCCACGAGCTTCTCAACACGACGAGCGTGCGGTCGTACAGATCGATCACGGAGGAAGAAATGGACCTCATGGTGGGAAAGATTACGAAAGAGCACTGCTCGGGCGGCCGGCCGCCGTTGAACTTGACGGACATGTTTCTGTCGCTGTCGAACGACTTGATTTCCCGGGCCGCTTTCGGGAAGAAGCACATGAGCGAAACGGAGAGCGGGGAGAACTTCTTTAAGACGATGGTCGAGATCGTGGGGCTGCTTTACAGTTTCACGGTGGGGGAATTAATTCCGTGGCTCGGTTGGTGTTGGGTGCTAAATACCAACACGCAAGTGTACGTATCGCAAACAAGTAGTAAAGTAGACTCGTGAGAGTCGGATGTCGATCCCACAGGGAATACGCAAATTATTTAATCCTAAGTACCAAATCCTAACAATTGTGATTTTTATCCAGCCTACGCAAGGTTGTCAAATTAATTAACTAATAAAATTAAAATAATTAAGAAAACAAGTAATCACGAGAAAAAGTCAATAATAAACGGATCTAGGATTTTATCTTCCCCCTATGCGATAATTCTTCACCCAACTAATCTCCTATTATGCAAGTTACGATTCCCGATTATTAACCCAAGACACGAAATTATTCATAACCAGCTGTCGCTGCGCTATAAACCTATTATTCATAAAAGATTCACTATATGTCTATGCAAACCTAATATAAATAAAGCATTAAATAACAAGTCTCGCAAACGGCTACCTAAGGTATTATCTGTATGTCTACGATAATACATGCAATTAACACACGCATTCGGTGAAAAACTACTCGAAGGTTCTCCTATCCCTGTTCTAATTATTAAAACAATCTGTCAATCAATTCTAACAATAACAACTAGCAACATAAGTTAGCTACGCTCATGCACTAAATAAGATCAAGATAGAGGAAATAATCGAAGAATTAAACTTGCATAAAAGTCGAAAAAAAGGTTCGAATCACCACATAGGGTTCCAATAAAATCCTAGAATAAAAACTTAGCTACTCATGTTCGTTACGGAAAACATAATGAAAATACGAAAAATCATAAAAACAATAAAAGAGGAGAACTATAATGAAGAGTCGTCAAGTCTTCGTCTTCGTTCTTGCTCCTTGATTACGTGTCGAAAGATAAAAGCTAAAAACTAAAATAAAGATGAAAGGTAAAAGATAAAAGATAGGTCTAATTGTGTGCTTGTGGCCTTTAAATAGGGTGCAAAACTATAATAGGGCGGGTTTCCTTGTATAATTGAGTTCCCTTCACTGCGCCATCACGTCCTTCCGGACGGCCGTGTGAGATTTTGAACTAAAATCCGCACGGCCGTGCGGTCTTTAATTCTCCAGATTTCTGATTTTTTCACTTTTGGCCCACTTTTTCTCTGAATTTGCAGTTTTCACCCCAAAAGTTGCCAATTCTTCAATTTGCACCTAAAATACAAATAATAGCCATATTAAGCACCAATTATCGTAAAAACACATCAAAAGCTCCAATTAAAAGGTACAATTAAGTGTATAAATATACACTTAACACACCCCCAAACTTGAACTTTTGCTTGTCCTCAAGTAAAATCAAATAAAATAGCACAAAATAAAACCATACATCTCATTACATAGATCGATGGGTCAACTTCGCGTTTTCAGAACTTGCAATTATGATGACAATTCATAGGTATTCGCAAGCTTAACATTCAACGGCACTTAGTCACTCATTATTACCAAAAACCACAAATCATACAATTGCTTCAAGTATCCAATATTTGCAAGTTAAAGAAAGAAAGAATTTATACTTACATGCATATATTTGACTCCAAATACTCACCAAATTATTCTACTCAACTAATATTGAACAATAAGCTCTTGGGATCATTGGGACTTTGTGGCTTTCAATTGTTAGGCTCTTTGGTCCGAGGTAGGTAATATGGGAATGTGTGGCTAATTTTCTTGAATTGAGGTGATTACGCCAAAATTTGAGAGATAGGCGTTTTAAACAATGAATTCACCTCTAGGGACTTTAATAAACTCGATTCTCCAAAATTCACACGTCAACACTTTTGCCTTGAGGCAATGACTCGAGTTTTCAACACAATTCCTCCACTAGTCCTTATTTCTCCCTTCTAATCTATTCTTCTTCTTCTCTCTTTTTTTCGAACAAATTTTTTTTTTTTTTTTTTTTTTTTTTTTTTTTTTTTTATTTTTAAAAACGAAAATAATAAAACGGCAATTAAAACAAAAACTAAAGCATGCAGAATAAAATAAAAAAAAATAAAGCACATAAATGAAAACAAGTAGTTAACCACCCCCAAACTTAAAATTCACATTGCCCTCAATGTGATTCGCCCGGAGTTTAAGGATAGAAAACACCTGTTTTTAAGCGTCCGGACCATCGTCGGGTTGCGCTCCAACTCCACCATGTGCAAGAGCATTACCATCATCTTCCTCATCCGAAAGCTCGGGTACCGGCTCAAGGATCGGTGCGGGCAAAGGAGCCGGTTCGGCGCACTCGGGATTGCCGCACGCCAAATGTCGCACTATGGCTTGGAGCATCTTCCCCGACCACCGTTGGAGGGACTCGATCGTGCTCACCTTGTGCTCCACCGTGGCAAGCCGATTTCTCGTGATCACCAACTCGCGCTCCATTCGTCTTTGAAATCGCCGGTCCGAACTTGTGCTTGGACCCTCGGGTGGAGCTATTGGTTGGTTCTCGACTGGTTGCTCGCCATCTTGGATGGGTGCCTTATATTGCCGGGCCGCAAGGTCATTCATCGGATTCCGAATTGATGTGAAAATGTCCGTCGGTTTGGTTGGGACCTTCGCCTTCTTGCATAAGCCGGTAATGAGGCAAGGGAAATAAAATCCTTTGGAGTTGTTGACCATGGAGGTCCAAAATCGGCCGGATATGATGACGCCAATGTTGATTGGGGTGCCCTTGAGGATGTAGTATGCCAAAGCACACCGTTCGGGGTCCACGCGAGTCCATGAGCGGGTGGGAATGAGGTTGGCACATATGAATGTGAGGCACGCCTTGCCGACTTGGTTGATGCATTTCCACTCTAACTCGTACTTTTCTTCGGTAGATAGTTCGGACCAAATGGGGGGTCCATCGCACAACACCTCGGCGATGTGATCTCGTGTGACTGCAAGTTGCAGTTGCCCCCAATTGAATGGTGCCATGTGTCGGAGGTGATAGAAGGAATTGATGTCGTAGGCATTCCACTCGACCCTCTTGCCTCGAACAGTGCTCACGGTCCGCTCCTCTGTGAGGTGGATATGGTTGTTGGCGTAGAACTCGCGGACCAATGATAGGTTGATTGAACCCTCCGGTTCCAATAGTGCTTGCCACCCTCGTCGTAGGAATTCTTGATGTAACGGGGCAAATTGTGGAAGGGTGATTTCGTAGGCACGCTCCGTCACTAGTTTCTTCCCCTTTTGCTTCTCGAAGCGAGCACTAGCGCCTTCGACACAAAAAGCGTCGTCGTCGGGAGTCGGGATTTGGTCGGTTTTCTTGCCCTTCCCCTTGCCCTTTGAAGTGCTTTCGCCTTTGGAAGTGCCCTCTCCGTCACGTCCTCGTTTCCCCATGACTTGAGAATGTGTGTAGAAGGGATGTGGAAGTGGTTGGTGTGCAAAATTCCCCCCAAACTTGACTTGGGCAATTTGTCGAACACCTTGTGGGCGTTCTTGGTGGAATGGATTTTTGGGGAAATTTGTACTTTTCTTTAAGCCTCCCTGCGTAAATCAACAACAAAAAACCAAGATTAAGGAATATGTGTGTGTATTTGGTGAATTTTCGGTGAAATTGTTCGAGAAAATCGAAATTTTGTGAAAATAGGGTGTTTAGGGTTCGAATGGTGAGAGAGGAGGATTTCAAATTGTGAAAATTTGGGTGTGAAAACCCCTCTTTAAACTGCCCGTTTTTTTTTTTTTATTCGCACGGCCGTGCGGGATATTGTGAAGAAATCCGCACGGCCGCACCGTTTGGTGAAATCGGGCAGTAGCAGCTCCAAGTTTCGGACGGCCGTGTGGATTCCCAGTGCTTTTTCGCACGGCCGTGCGGTTTCACGTTTTTGTCCAGTAGCTGGAGTCGTTTCTCGGACGGCCGTGCGGAATTCCTTGTCTTTTTCACACGGCCGTGCCGGTATTTGCAATTAGGCCCCTGCAAAATAAAAACTTTCTATTAGTACCCAAAAACTTTTTTTTTTTTTTTTTTTTTTTTTTTTTTTTTTATAAATAAAATAAAATAAAAGCCAAACTAAAAAAAATTTAAAATAACATAAAATACAAAAAACGAAAGCTCGGGTTGCCTCCCGAGAAGCGCTAAGTTTACAGTCTTCAGCCGGACTTTGTCTGCTTCTCTGTTCAAGCTAACGTGACCGAAGTCACATGGCGATTGCATCCCTCTCCCCAATAATGCTCGTTTGGTTCGTTAGGTGGCCACATCCACCTTGCACGTTCATCATTGTTATCATCCCAACTCTTTTGACTGTCCCTCGGCGGAGTTGAAATTGAGCTTGCACAATAAACTTGCTCCGTCCGACTATCTTTTCCGCCACCATCTCCTGCACTTAAAGATTCTTTCCCATGGTCTAAAATCAAAACGTCAAAATCTTCATGATTTGTAAAATCCACAAGATCAATAGCATAACAATCATTATTATCACATGGATTTTTATTAGCGCTAAAAACGTTAAATTTGATCGTTTGATCGTGCACCGTCATTGTAAGATCACCACTAGCGCAATCAATTAGGGTTTTCGAAGTGGCTAAAAACGGTCTCCCTAAAATAAGAGGTATCTCCTTATCTTCATCTATATCAAGTACAACAAAATCGACCGGGAAGATAAATTTGTTCACCTTTACTAGCACATTCTCTAAAATACCTTTTGGGTAAACTAAAGACCTATCGGCTAATTGAAGAGTTATAGCCGTAGGTTCAATCTCACCTAACCCAAGATTTTTGTAAGTGGAATAAGGCATAAGATTAATGCTAGCACCTAAATCAATGAGTGACCTAAAATTTTTACCTCCAATAGTGCAAGGGATAGTGAACTTACCTGGATCGCCGAGTTTTTGTGGAAGGGGCCGTACAAGAATTTGACTGCATTGCTCCGTGAGTTGGATGATCTCGTTCCCTTGCAATTTATTCCTCTTTGTCACGAGCTCCTTGAGGAATTTCACCCACTTTGGCATCTTTTGAATGGCTTCGATAAACGGAATGTTGATGTGGATTTCCTTCAGCTTGTCCAAGAATCCTTGGTGCTCCGCATCGAGCTTCTTCTTTTTAAGCTTTTGGGGATATGGGACTTGAGGGACTCGCGGGGTCACTGTGGGTGATGGTGGTTCTTTGCGAGTTGCTTCTTTTTCCTCAATCTCAATTGGCTCCTCGATTACCGTATTTTGCTTCTCCTTTCGTGGGGCCTCCTCCAATTGTCTCCCGTTCCTTAAACTCACGGCGTTGCACTGCTCGACGTTGTTCTTCCGAGGATCTTCCGTGTTTGATGGCAGTGCTCCCGATGGCCTCGCTGTTAGTTGGGTTGCAAGTTGACCCATCTGTGTTTCTAAATTGCGGATGGAGGCTTGGGTGGTTGTCATAAATTGCGCCAAGATGTTTGCGAGATCTCCACCTTGAGGTTGGGCTTGAGGCGGATTTTGGAATCCGGGCGCTGGTCGTGAATAATTAGGCGGTTGACCTTGAGGTGGTGCTTGCCTTGGTCCTTGCTGATTTCCTCCCCACCCAAAGTTAGGGTGATCCTTCCATCCCGGGTTGTACGTGTTGGAGTACGGGTTCCTCTGTTGTCGGTTGGTGTCATGCACATAATTCAGAGACTCCGTTTCTTCTACGCGCTGGTCGGGAACTTGGACTGCATGGGCTTGCTGAGTCTGCAAAGCAGCTACTTGCTTCGATAGCTTCTCCAATTGGGCTGTGATTGCAGTGACTCCGTCTAACTCCAAAATTCCTCCCGTCTTGACTGCTCCGCTATTCGACCGGTCCGATGCTCGCATGTATTTATTTCTGGCGATTCGTTCCAAGAGCTCGTATGCTTCGTCATAGGTTAAACTCATGAACATACCTCCAGCTGCAGAGTCGAGCACTGTCCTCGAGTTGTCTTGCAGTCCATCGTAAAATATTTGCAATTGGCGCCACTCTTGTAGTCCGTGATTTGGGCACCTCCTTACTAGCTGTTTGAACCGCTCCCACGTCTCGAATAGTGCTTCACCGGCTTCTTGTATGAAATTTTGAATTTCTCTCCGGATTCTC